CTAGATCGTCTAATCGCTGCGTAAAAAGATTTGTCATTGAATGTGGACGTTGAAAACCTGCTATCTCATATTGGAAGCCTATCTCATTAAAGAGGACTTTCGTGTTTTTTTTTAAATTCAGATTCGGTTGCTCTGCGCGAAATGGAAATTAATGGAAGAAGAGAAAAAAAAGACTGCTAATATGTCAAAGATGAATAGTATGCATACAAATCAAGCAAGAAGAAAACACGTATGAAGAGTCAATTTAAAAAGTGTTGAACATCCGTTATTTAAACTCGAGTGGAAGATGTTCCGAGCGAAGGCACGGCGTAATAGGCATGTAACGTAATCGACTAACGACACGGCTAATGAACATTTATTCGCATAATTTTCAAACAAACTCTTGTACGAATCCTAGATCGAATGATATCTACTTCAACCCCGTGGGTCTAATTTTTAATTGCTGGTGGATAAGAGAAATACACAAGTAAAGCATTAATATCTATATGAATTTTTTTTTCTTTTCCTAAGTATCACATATTTTTGAGTGACTCAATTCATCTGATCTTACCCACTAAAATCTCAGTTAATAATCATAGACTGTGGATTCGATTAGGCAGTTATTATATGTAACTCAATGCGATTAAGGATCGGTACAAATGAGAGTAGGGAGTGTAACACTAATTTACACCGCAAACATAATGGTCTTATCGACGCGGAACAGATTATAACTCCGCAATATAATTGGAACCATTTAGCGAATTAATTCCGCGGCCTCGCAACGGTCTCGTGAAGGTACGACGCCTTTCAACCACGCGAGTCCATTCTTACACTGAGAAAAATGTCCGATTAAATATAATCGGATAATCCAATTACATGATAACAAACGGATATGTCCGATTAAATTGTATATCCGATGAAAAATTTGATCGGTTTTTTAATCAAATTTCATCGGTAATTGCATTTCATCGGATAAATTTCATCGGATATATCCATAATTTAATCGGAAAAAGTAATCGGAAAAATTAACCATCGGACATACTATTTAATTGGTTTATCCGATGAAAATTTTTCTCAGTGTACATTCGCGGAAACTCATTGTCAGTTAAACAGACCGGCAACAATCTTTCAGACAATCTTTCGCAATCGTTTGTAAACCGTTTAGAATTGTAAAGCACAATTTCAAAAAGCATAACATCTTACTCAGCTCGCTTGATTTGAGTTTTGTAATTTTAATGTTGCATAAATTTACATGTAAATGTGTTCGTGTAAACTTTGTATTCCATTTCTGGAAAAGCAAACGATTTTCTCATTTTATAATACGTTACGTTAAAGTTAAGTAGAAAAAAAAATTTTAACTTTCGTATCTTTTTATTGGCTTCCGCGTTGCATAATTTCGAAAAGTGCAAGCAATACGATCGTTTAAATGCGATTATAATTGACAGTTCTCCAAGATATTCTCCCGCATCTCGTAACACATATCTAATGATCGTATGAAGAACTCGCGTATGAGAGACGCGATTGTCATTACAGCTTTGATAAAGTGTGTGTCAAGCAGCGTAATCAAAGGGCTCGAATATTATTGTTTCAGTATCTTCAGAGCGGTTGGCTGAAAGGCTATAGCTTCCGATGCCAACCGGTGGATTATTCGTCCAGCTCCATGGGCCTCAGAATGGCAAGAACCTGCTGGTGGTACTATTTTAGCAAATTTACCGAGTTCTTCGATACGGTGAGTATCGATTTTCACTTGACTTGTCGATACAAGATAAACCGGAGCTGATGCGAAAGCGTAAAAGTGCCATTCGATAAATTCATCTTACAACCAGCATAAATTTCGAGGAGCATCGGGTCCGAAATATTTGTCGACGACTCTGAGTAATTTGTAGAGAGATAGCTGGCTCCGCCTGTATCTGTCGCTTCATTTAATTTCTACACTTTTAAAGATGTATTGAAACTACCCGGCTTGCCTCTCGTTCTATTTCTCTTGTCTGTTCTCATTACAAAGCACAAAGAATTGCCGTCTTGTTTACGGGCGTATTATATTTATATAAATATTGTGTAAGAATATGAAACTTGCGAAACTTGAATCGGAATGGCATTTATTATGCTATTAGAGAGTTGATAAACTAACCCGTTGGGGAGATACTTTAAGCAAAATTATCCAAGTATCGAGAGAAGCGAAGAGAGTGACCGAAAAATGTGCTTGATTTTGTAGCTGTTCTTTATTCTGAGAAAGAAGAACCAACACGTCTCAACGCTTCACGTAATTCATCATGGGGTAATGCCTTTTTCCGTGTGGATGGGGGTGAAATTTGCACCGGGCGGCCACAGCACATTTTTTGCCCTCCTAAACACCTTCGTGCACATCGTGATGTACTTCTACTACATGCTGGCCGCGGTGGGGCCGCACGTCCATAAGTACCTCTGGTGGAAGAAGTATCTCACTACCATGCAAATGGTGAGTTCAGCATTACCTCGTGTTATTACGAATTTACAAGTGACAATTAGCAGCTATTGCGGATTTTTCTTATACAATGATGGACTCGAAGGGCCGGGGAAAAAAGCGATCGTGGACGCGTTTAAAAATTCGCACTCGCGGAAGATGTGTAGCTCTTAATCATAAAAACAACCGTTTCCAATAAAATTAATTAAATTAATGGAATTGACAAAGCGGATTAAAGTGAATCGCCGACCGAATTCTCAATTTGAAATCACGTTCACTTTGTAATCCCACCCATCTGTAGGTTTCTCTAGCCTTTGAAATATAATGCATCGATATACCTCAGGTCACAGCGATTCGGCACAAATTTTGTATGCATTAATAGAGTTTTTATTGTCTCACCTAACACCTTGTCCTCCTGATTTCAGATACAATTCGTGATGATCATGTGCCATCAGTTCCAATTGCTCTTCACCGAGTGCAACTATCCGCGCGGTTTCATGATCTGGATCGGCTTGCACGGTGTCCTGTTCCTCGGGTTGTTCTCGGATTTCTATAAGACGAAGTACACGAGCGGCGCGAAGAGAAGTTCCGAGAAGAAGATGCAGAACGGCACATCCGGTGGGGCCTGCATGCCGGTTTTGGATGGTAACGACTGCGCGACGCACAACGGCGTGTCCTCGTACGCCACGATCTACAACAAGGAGTACAACAGCTGTTACAGCAACGGCACGAACAACGGCTACGTCGCCAACAATAACATCACGGAGAAGAAGCTCGCTTAGGACACGTGGGAAGCTCGGACATTTCTTTCGGTGTGCCGGTCAACCGCTCGTCTTATCGTACCTACAATTACCATTCGTCTATCGTGAAAAATCACTTCGCAACATGTTCACAAACTTAGGCGTGAGAACACGAAGCCAGATTACACGCGTGTGTAAGGAGGACAAAGGGACGAGGATGAAAGAACTGGCATGTATAAAGCGAGACACGTCTCGTTAAATATTCTGCGTTGTTAGCAGAGCAGTAGTTGTGTTCACTAACATAGTATCATCGACGAAAGGGCTGTTACGATGTCCGTGTTAAAAATAATAGGAGTAAAAGGGAGAAACGCGATTGCAGCTGATCGCTAGGAAAAAGAAAACGTTGCGGAATCTTCATTATCGAGTCTTGGTGAGATACAGCGTGGTCTTTAAACTAGTGATTTGTGACATCTGCCATACAGAAAATAGAACATCGATAATACTATCGGGAAATCGTTAATAGTACAGATAAGAGCATTAGCGAAAAGAGAAAAAAAACGAGAAGACTTTGTAGTTTTCATATTTGACGTTACGGAAAATTGTGCCGCGACTTGTAAAATCTCTAAACTGCGACTAGTTTGGCAATGCCGATTAGAGAATTGGGGGGGGGGGGGGGGTCGCATTCGACGGGATTCATGAACGTGAGCACAGGCTGGATAACATTAAAGCGCACATAACTTTATATGACGAGGAATGTGGAGCATTTGTCGTTGATTAGATAATTATACTGGCAAGAGCGGCGTGTTCGTTGTGCGTGCAATTTTTTGTACTGGTACGTAATGTACGTGTCGAATACGAGTGTGGATGTTTTTTAGTCGTACGTAATTTTTCAAGGCATTATCCTCCCATTGAGGCACATTGCTGATAGTAAACCCTTTCTCCCCTTTTTTAATATCATTACCGACTCTGTCTCCTTCTAGCTCCGACTGTGTTCAAAGCTCCGGTGTTCTTAAAAAAATTCGTACAGAGTGAATTCGCCCGAGGTATACAGAGTTGACTAAAATTACATTGGCAGTTGTAAAAGGATTCGTAAAAATGATCGCCAATAAGTTATTGGAAAATGCCTCGTTTCCCTTTCCTAACAACTTGTCGAGTTTTTCCCACGGTAATTCTTTATCTTGCCATTATTTAATCAGTTTTCCAAACATGACAATCCTTAATTATTACGATTGCAAATTTACCTTGTATTTCCCCTAAATTGCTTTTATTTTAAGTTCCCCAGACTTATCTTGCTTGTAAAATGTATTTTATTTATATTGTCCTGTATCGCTAAATAGCGATAACCTGTTTAACGTTAATAATCTTTTCACTCTCTCTCTCTACTTTTCGTTGCTTATTTTAACATTGATAATTTTACTTTTTACCGCCCGTCGTTCCACAACTTCACGAAAACCTTACGAATTGTTAGCGGCATGTATCAAAGTCATCTCCATTTAATTCACCGCGTGGCTTGATTCTACTACTAGTGGCACGGTGACGTCTAGAGTGAGCTGCCGAAAAGAATTTGTTCGTCGCTTTGATCGCTTTGTCATCAAGCACGAACGCAATGTTGAGAGCCGCACTGCGGCTCGCTGATATCGTGCACGGCGCAACACGGGCGCTTTGATCGATCCGAAAAGGTACACGACCATTCATCGCGAGAATCACAAAGCTCTACTGTTGTAGAATCAAGCTCCAGGAAAGGGAGCGTGCACTGTGAATAACGAGCCTCTCTCTTACACGCAATCCGCAAATTTCGCGGTCGCGGAGAAGTGCGAGCGAGTGCAAATGTGTCTCGAGATGTCTTGTACACACGCACGCACACATGCGCGAATATATTCGAGGGGGAAGGGCAAATGTTTAGAGATCGTAATAGTCGCACTATAAGATTAATATATTTGTATACACTTCCTATTTTTATGAATATATTATTTATGGTGATCCAGACTTAATAAAATCTCTGATGATAAAACGTTTCTCTCGACTGTAATAAATTCAACCTCGGCTATTTTTACAGGCGGATAAGCTAGCTCTAGCGAACGAAAGTGAGAGAATTTAAAGCGTTATAGTCTTACATCGTGTTCGTCGGAATGAGCTTCCTCATGAAAGTACACACACACACACATACACGAGCGACGATCAGTTTGTGAGACAATCGAAAATGAGTGTCGCCACCGAGAAGCGTTCGCGCATTTTTCTTCTCATTTGTGCGTACAACGAGTATCTCGCATTTGTAAAACGTTCCAATCCGAGCTTCATCCAGACGCGCAAAAGCGCGTACAGAGCCCGAATGTGAGTTAGAAAAACATTAGCTAATGAGAATAAGTATGTTTCCACAGATTATTATGCGCTTAGAGTTAATTTGTCCACGTAAAAACGCGTCTCCTACGTTCCCGAGTTGTCGCGACGCGTTTCGGGATTGGCGTTGCGCGCTCGTCGCCGATTTTGCACCGTCTATTTGAGTCGTTCATTACCTATTTGTTTTCTCGAAGCTCAGCTTTCGTCACTGTCCGATTCCAGGGGACTCTGGTCCACGTCTCCATTGTAGCGAAATACGAACGACAACGCATATATGCATAATCTAAAAAACTGCCGTAACACGAATAAAGAGCGTGCACAAAATTTCGTAAGAGGCGCACGGAATTGAAGGGCGGAGACCTAAACCGAGAGAAACGTCTAGCGAGTTCTCTCCCGAGCGTTTGGTGATTAGGGCTTTGCGCAGATCTTTTTATCTTACGCACAATTAAAATGCGATAAAAAGTAAAGTTACTTCCTAACTAGTTAGACGTCTAGGTGGTAGTTGAACGTACTGCGTTACGTTGCATCTTAGTCTTGTTTAAGTTGTGATATTGCGGTATAACAGTACTAATTAAACGTGTTGAACGTGGGAGGATAACATTCGACGAGATAGACGACGCGGCGTGAATTGCAACTTTTTTATGGGTATCTTAATTGTTTTTAGCGAGAATAGCGAATCGTGCTAGAACTGAATGACCGAGTGTCAGCGACGGATCCTGTTGCTCGAACAGAACGCACAGAATCGAAGGATCGCGCAAAACGTTTGCGCTCCCTCGCCGGAGACCGCCGATAAACGGTTTGTAAAACTTTTGTCGGCGGAGCCCGATCTTGGGATTTTCTGGCTTTTCTTTCATCCTTGTTAATTAATTAACGAGCGCAATACTTTCCCTAGAATGTCGTTGCTACTGCACTTTGCACCTTATTGACTTAAGTAAGCGAGCGAAACCTTGGTTCGTCTCTCGCGCATTGACCGCGCAATATTTTTTTCAACGAAAAACCGGATCGGCCGCGACAGCTTTTGCGCGGCGCAGCTTGAATCTCTTTCTAAATCTAGTTATTTATGGAGGAAGTGACTACCGCTATATTTACTACGAGGTAATTACATTAATGTTTCGTTCTTCTTGTATTTCAAGCGACATTTTTGCGAAACAATTCCGGGAGTTCGTGTGAAACGGTAGACTACCGTATATACGCTGTACTTTGCTTATTTGCAAATTTAAAATTGCGTTATTCTTGAAACTTGTACGTTGCATCTACGTTTTCCTAAAGTAATTCTTTACTTTCGTTGTTTCCGTAACGATAAGTTCCATGCGAAGCGCAAAGATCCGCATCAAGACTTTAGAGTGTAAGGCCGAGTGATAAAAGCGACACTTTCACGTGTACATATATGTGGAAACGAGCGATCTGTGCGCGTATGGTGTGTGCTGTCACGTTTTACAATTTCATGTTTTCAGGCGCACTCGAGAGATCCGCCGAAAGTGCGAGAAACTGCGACAATGCCAGAGCGTATCGCGTCATGTACCTAAACGTTACGAGCTCTGTAATGATTCTCATTATATTTTTGTACATAATTGGGGAGAATTACGAGAGAACAATAAAACGATTGAAACGAAAGGAGACTCGGCGTACACTCGACTACCCGCGAGGAGGTTGACGACACGCACGCGCCCTGCGGAATTTGTCCAATTTGAAAATGAACTCGGCGTCGAGTTCTTTCTTAAGAAAGGACGATACGTATATAACATAATTAATTAATATTTGCATAAACGAGAATTTTCATATACCCTGAACTTTCCGTATACGTAAAAGGTTGAATTATTAAATAAATTTCTCACAATTGAGACTTTGAACGTAGGCATAGTAAATATAGACTGAGCGTCCCGTTGAATAAGCTGAAGCTTGTGAAGAGAGAGAGAGAGAGAGAAGACTTTCCTTACAAGATCGTTTGATGCGAGTATCTTTACGTGTAGGCAAAAAGTTTTTAAAACGCCAGACACTCCTTAAATTTATTTCATCTCCCGTACAGCACCGAAGCTTTCAGAAACATTTCAGAAAACATTGTTGCAATGTTGCAATGTTTCTGAAATGTTCCCGAAAGCTTCGGTGCTCTGCCCAGTGAGAAATGATTCGTCGATCGACGTCGATCCACGAATCATTTCTCACTGGGTATGGGCTGAGCACTGCAAACATTTCAGTACATTAATATCGCAAGGTTGATCTGATTATGAATGCATACATAATTTTTAAGTAACGAATAATAGACAATAGGCAACTTACGCATCGCTCACCCTGCGGTCGTCCCGCCCCGCCGTCGCCCGCCGCCTTTCTCCGAGCCTTTCCCGCCTCTGTCGACAACATGGCTGCCTCCGCCGCGGCGCATTTCCGATAAACGCCGCCCGACCGCGCGATCGCGAAAATACGATTGCGCGGCGCTCCCGACGTCAACGGGATGCTGGTGCGATTCTGCACTTTCGGCAACCTCTGCTCCTAAAATTGTAAACGTAAAGATATAGTCGCGTCGATTCGTGAAAACATATTTGTGTAATATACAAATTATGTGGCCTTCGTGTACTAATCTCGTGCTATGATCAGTCAAATCTGAAATTTCGCAGCGTCGCGTTGAAATTTTATTCAATGGAAATTCCAGATTTGACCAATCGCAGCGCGGGGTCATTTTTTAATCCGGATCATTTTGATCTCGCGAAAGCAGCCCGGCTTCGCACGGTCTATGCGCATCGCGAGGATGTATTCTCGTTGCGATCTACGCTATGCTTACCGTTCGCGTTGCAACGCGAGCGAACTCTCACGTTCACGCGATAGAGCAAACGTTACTGCGGCAGACGTCTCGGTACGGCGCCGATTACGCCCGATACTTCCTCGTCGAGCGCGTCGCGACGCCGCTCGACAATTGTGCAATTGCGCCCCGGGGACTCCGTCAACGGCCGTAAAAACTTCAGCGACAGCTTCACCCTCGGTACGACGCGAGTCAGTCTAGCAAACTGGCCGTCGGTCAGGTAGGACACGCGCGATCGTATGATAATTCAGCGTTGCGCGCGAGCTGCAGGACACGCGACGCTTATTCGCTTCCCAGTGAGAAATGATTCGTCGATCGACATCGACGTCGAATCATTTCTCACTGGGAAGCGACACCCCAGTCGGAAATGACACGGTCGATCGACGAGAATCATTTCTGACCGGGACGGAGACCGCCCAGTGAGAAATGATTCGTCGATCGATGTCGAATCGACGTCAATTTGACGGTATCGATGTCGTTTCGACAACGATCGAGGCAAAGATTCCCTCGAGCCGCCGTCATTTCGCATAGAACACGCTCGTGCAGTTTTCCCAGCGAATCCTTTCGCATTCGCAGCTCGTCCGCGCTCGCGTTACTACCAGCGGCTCTAAGTGTCCCCGCTAAACTACGTTACTTACTTTTCGCACGATACCGCAATTATTCGGCAAGAGAGAGGACCGTCGATCGTCTTCACCTAGCGCGCTCGGAACGTTCGCGAGGAACAAAAGAAGGCGACCGGAAGCGACGGGCGGCCGCGCGCGCTCTCCCGCGCGGCTCCCCGGGCGCCCGGGACGCCGCAGCGACTCGCGTAGTACGCGCAGCAGTACGTCCCGCAAACATGGCGCCCGAATGAAGGACGCCGTACGCGAGTGCCTGCCAGATCCGCCGTCGCGTTACGCACACGTCCGCACGCAGTCGGCCCAGCGAGGTCGGCCCGTCCCGTTCGCAGAATGAGCAACCTGTCGCCGTTCGGCGGCGGCAAGAACCCGCCCTGGGTCCGCAATGCAGGTGAGAGCGACGCGTGCACGTCGCGCGCGCGCGCGCGCGCGTGTCCCTCTTTTTTTTCTTCCTTTCCTCGCCACACGAATCAGCGGATTCCCGTGCATCGGTCGCGGTTTCCCTCCCCCCCCCCTCCCCCTCTCGTCGTTCCGTGTGCAACGTGCGACGGAAGAGGCTGCCAAGTTATTATCTCTTCCCTTCTCCTGTCCGTCCCACCCGCGTTCGACCCCCTCGCACCCTTGGCCGCCGTTACACAAGCCGCGTCGACGCGTGCCGTCGCCGTGGCGCGCGCACCGCGTTTCCCTCCGGAGCTCCCGGGGGAGACGCTCGTCTCTCTTGTTTCCCCTCCCCCCCCCCCTCCAGGTTGATCCTCCGTGTTGTCGATCGCGCCGCGCGCGACCTTTGCCACGGGCTAAAACTTGTTTGTCACGCGGGAGATCGGCGTCGCCGGGATACATACAGGGCCCGCGCACAATGATCTTTGTTGTCTCTGCGACAGGACAAGGCATACAAAACATCCAGCAGCAAATGCTGGGCCAGGCCATGAGCAGCATCGGAGGGCAGCCCATGGTGCAGTACCAGCAGCAGACCCAGCAGGTCTACCCGCAGAGTCTGGGATTGCAGCAGGTGGGCATGTCGCGGCACGGCGCTCTCGCTCCGGTGTCTGATCGGTCCCAGCGAACGCCAGTGTGATGTAACACGCGTGTTGCATTGGGCGCTCGCTGGGATTGTAACGGGACGCATGTAACCGACACAAAACTTTCACATTTGCACGCAGCCCAACATCACCATGGCATCCATGGCCACTCTCGGCTCGAATTTGTCGTCTGGTATAGCCGGACAGCTGTATCCGCAGGTTGCTACCGTTTCGTACCCGACGCCGCGTGCGCTGAACACCAACGCCTTTCAGCCCTCCGTAGCTGGCGTTCCGCAGCAGGTTCAGCAGAACGTACCTTCGTCGTCGACGAAACAGCGAGTCTTCACGGGTACAGTTACCAAAGTACACGACAACTTCGGATTTGTAGACGAAGATGTATTTTTTCAAACTGGGTGAGCAAACTCGATTAATTTCTTCCCGTCTCCTCCCTCTCTCACTTTTGCACACGAGTTCCAACGAGTCTCCTTCCCGCTCTGTTTCAGCGCGTGCGTGAAGGGATCTAATCCCGTAGTGGGAGACCGCGTGCTCGTAGAGGCATCGTACAACCCTTCGATGCCGTTCAAATGGAACGCCACTAGAATACAAGTGCTGCCCATGGGTAATAATAGCAACAACGCCAACACTCAGCAGACTAACCAGCCGAACCGTCAGCAGCAGCAGCAGCAACAGCAACAGCCGAACAGGACGTCCGGCACTTACAATGCTGTACCTCCTCCCAACGAAAATCCTAATAACAGGTGACGATAAATCGTTGACTGGCTACAACGGTGTGCGATCTAGATCGGCATTTCTGCGATACGCAGTAGTGCCGTTTGAATTTGCGTATAAAATATCGAATATTCGAATCCTCTCGCACAATATTGATGTTAAATAATTTGACTTTACCGACCCTACTCGATATCTACTTATTAATTTGAAGACGGTCGTTGAGGACGGGCTTTAAATAATCGAGGCTTTGAATCCGAATATAGATTTTGAAACCGAGTCCGAGTTTCAAAGTGGGCGTCACGTGCACGCGATATTTCATCGACGGAATTGTACTTTCCATTGTAGTAGGTTCACGACAAGCACGACTAATTCCAACACGACCAGCAACCGTAACAAAGTCAGTAGAGTGAGAGAAAGATCGCCCCGCGAGCGGAGAAACGACGACGAGGAGATAGAGAGAAAGAGACGCCGCGAAGAACGAATAAGAGAGCGCGAGAAGAAGGAGGACCGGAGCCCGTCGAGGACCAGGAGGAGCAAATCGCCGAGACCTCGTCGGCGTACACGAGTCGTGCCGCGTTACATGGTTCAAATACCGAAAATTGCGCTTGACCTGTAAGTGCAACGATTAATCTGTCTCGACGAAACGCGCACCACTGGCCGAGTTTTATTGCTGCTTCTTATCACAGGCCTGAAGCAGACGTTCTTGAAATAAGAAGACGCTATCAAAATATGTACATTCCTAGCGACTTCTTTTCCACTAACTTCAGATGGGTCGATGCCTTTCCACCGCATATGCCGTTCACACTTAATAAACCGTGCTCCTTCCACGTTATGCATAAAGATGTCGATCCGTGTAATGAAAATACAGCAGTACTAGAACCATCGGATGCCGATTATTTATTCTCTGCGAAGGTCTGTCAAGAAGCTGTGTCGTCGTTAGATGACGAGATACAAGCGCGCCGAGATTTCTAGCGCGATACAAGTCGGGATACATACGCGTTATGTCGAAATTGTTTTTTCATGTATTGAATGTCTCTTAATTATTTTTAGGTCATGCTCATATCCATGCCAGCCATGGAAGAGATATACAAAAGGTGTTGTGGCGTTTCCGAGGACAGGGATCCCGATCGCGATTACGTTCACCCTACACGCCTTATAAATTTCTTAGTAGGCTTGCGGGGCAAAAACGAGACAATGGCTATAGGTGGGCCGTGGAGTCCCTCGTTGGACGGTCCTAATCCTGAAAAAGATCCGTCTGTGTTAATCAGGACGGCCGTGAGGACCTGTAAAGCGCTTACCGGCATAGATTTGTCCAGTTGCACACAGTGGTACGTCTTTTCCAATAGAAATACCTTTCGTTGAATGTACGTCTCTGGAGCACTCTCATAGGCAGCTTTTTTTTAAAGCCCCGATTTGTTACAAAGAGCAATGTGATATCACCGAGTTCTTCCGCCCGTTAATATTGCACACCCTGTGTACTTCCGTCGTTACTACTTTACAAACCGAAAAGGTCACAATTGCGGAACTCTTCATTTTTTAAAAAGTTTCGTCCTCTTCTCTCTCTCTTTTTTTTTCTTAATTGTCTAGGGCTACATTTCTCTAGAACTATCTTCTTCTACAACGTTCAAAACGAGTTATTCGAAAAACAAAAATCAAGACAGAACACTATATGGCGTTAAGATATCTATCCGATAGGTGTACTATCCACGATCTCGACAGAGAGTAACTTCTAACATCAGTTCTCTGACTTGGTAAACTAAGATTGTAGCTCGATCTCTGCAGTGGAGGTATGTATTTATTCTAAACACGAGCGACCGATGGAGATTGTTGCTGCACTGGATCCCGGTTTCGAGCACACCCCCCCTCCGTCGACGACGATACACGAGCAGTGTCGCGGCAGACAAATCATCACTATTCTATTATTATATGATTGTGACCCACTGAGTTGTGCTTTCTCTCTCAAATGGTCTCTACGTTGTGCGCTGTACGTGGCTTTGTATGCAGTGCGTGGGCTTTACGAACAAGCGAGCGAACACTTAGCATATAAGGCAACGCTAAGCGGCATTAATCTGAGTTGACGTTTGCGTATTGTTTTTCCTTGCGGCACAGGTACCGCTTCCTGGAACTCTACTACAGACGCGCAGAAACGACCCACAAGTCCGGGCGAGTGGTACCCTCTCGCGTTGAAACCGTCATACTATTTCTCCCAGATGTTTGGAGCTGTGTACCTACCAGATTGGAATGGGACGGGCTGCAACTCAACTATAAGAAACAACTGGAGCGAAAGCTGCTGCGTGCCGCCTCTAATCCCGACGATTTGGACGCTGCCAATGAGACTGATGAGGCTGCCGCCGCTGATCAAAAGGCACTGCCCACATCATCCCATATATTACTTTATATTACCTTTTTATTACATTATTATATATTTATATATATATATATTCGTGCTACCGTTTCTCCCCATTACTAAACTGGATTTTCAATAGGCTATACTTGTCCATCGATCCTATCAGTAAGTTAATCTATCTCGGAGACTGTATCTTGCCTTGGTTTCTTTCGCGCAACAGATCGCACTCGTCGATTTTGAAGTCTTAATTTAAATCTCGGGTTAACGTATTGAGGTATTCTTCATCGATAGACGACAGTAAAATTATTCCAAGGTACTTGCGTCGTTGGTAGACTGTTAGACTCCGGTTCCCTTTCTCAGTGACAGAGTCTGTGAACTTGACTTCTTCCGTAAGATAAGCTGGTCTTAGCTTTATGGGACAAGTCATTTGACGACATCGCACAATTAAAGCGTCGGATACGTAAAACTTTTAATAAGGCAAAGTCTGTATGTACATAACTATATTAAGCTCACCGTTTTATATGTGTAAATTAACAACTCTTAATACAAACGCTTTTAAATGTCGCAAACGAGGATCGACGGGTAATGTATCGCTCCCTTAGCCAATGGCAGTCACATTGCATTAACAAGAGAAGCAAGCAAGCCTAGCTCGGAGAAGAGCGCAGCTGAGCCATTCCCTTTCCTGAAACCTTCACCAACATTGAGAAATCATTCAAAAGTTTTCATTTAATCATCGTTTTATACTACAACATTATTGATATTATCCATAACCTACCGATCACACAGACACCAGAGCCAGGACACTATGAGATTCTAGCAGTTACTTGAGTCATACTTGACGGTCATCGTGAATGAAGATATGTGTATATCGTTACAATGTGAGAGAGTGATGAAAGAATGAAGAGGGAGTGGTTTCGTTTCGTTATAGGGGCTGCTTCTGTTTTGTAGTTTTCTCTCTGGGCTTTTTACTTCTCTTTTAATAACGCGTACTTTCTTTTTCCAGGACGACTCGATGCCCGAGAAAAAGGATCCTACGCACTATTCCGAGCTAGATCCCAAATCGATGAATGTTAGTACTTCAAACAAATCCCATCTCTATTCTGGCGCTGTCAAATTCAAATCTAACATGTCTTAATAATTCTAGGTGAATGAACTACGTCAAGAGCTAGCAGCTCGTAATTTAAGCTCGAAGGGCTTAAAGTCGCAATTGTTAGCCAGACTTTTGAAGGCAGTAAAATCCGAGCAAGCCAAAGAGGAGGGTCGGCAAGACGAGGCGGACGAAAACGAAGAGGACGTCTCGCCACCGTCAAAAGAAGAGGACGAGAAAAAATTCAGAGATAATAAGGATGTAAGCAGCAAATATGCGTATATGCACTTGAATGGTTTTATTGGAGACATGAATATTGAGTACATAAAATTATTTCTTGAGAATAGTTCAGGTCTTTAATATCTATTCGTTCGCATTGTTTACAGCATGATGAAGATAAGAGGAAGCTTTATGAACGCGAACGTACTGTGCTCGAGAAGAGGTACACTCTGCCCGATTCATCGCACATTATCGTTCATCCGTCTAGAATGGCTAAAAGTGGCAAATTTGACTGCACAGTGATGTCTTTGAGCGTACTGTTGGACTACAGACCAGAAGATACCAAGGTATCTTATATTTTAGAAATTATTTTCACGTATTTCAAGAATGACATTTTATACAACAATCTTTCGAATATGTAGGAACATTCTTTTGAAGTATCTCTGTTCGCGGAACTGTTCAACGAAATGTTGATGCGGGATTACGGTTTCCGTATTTATCGTTCGTTGTCCAGCCTTCCCGAAAAGACCAAGGAGAAGGATGAAGACAAGAAAAAAGATAAGAAAGATGATAAAAGAGATGACAAGAAGGACGATAAGAGGAAGGAAGATGAGAAGAAATCCAGTAAGAAGGATGAAAAGCGAGACGATAAGAAGAGAGAGGACGCCAAGGATAAGAAGGACGACAAAGACGCCAAATGTAAGGTGGACGACAAAGACAGGGAAAAGGAGAAAAATGATGATGAAGATGAAGATGAAGATGACGAATCAGATGTAAGAGAAAGAGAATTCATTTTTTACATTTCACATTTCATGTTTCGTATAAAAACATTTTCTTTAACTGACGAGAAATATGTTGCAAATGAGTAACATTTGTAACATATAATAATAGATCAATTGTAATTATAAACATTGTCATCACTTACACAGGATGATGATTCCGTCAAAGACGGTAGGAGAGACAAGGATAAGGACGGAAAGAAGAGAAAAACGAAATTATACACGCATGATCCTTACCTTTTACTCTCGTTCGTGTATTTCGATCAGACGCATTGTGGATACATATTTGACAAGGATATTGAAGAACTTATTTATACCCTGGGATTGAACTTGTCTAGAGCTCAAGTACGGAAACTAGTACAAAAAGTTGTTACAAGAGATTCTCTGCATTATCGCAAATTAACAGACAAATCGAAAGAGGACGACTTAAAGGATGAGAAAAAAGATGACAAGGAAGGCGACAAGGGTGAATTCACCAAAGCGGAGAACGAGGAGGACATATTGCGTTCACTTGCCCTCGGTAATGTGCATCTCCTCTCACATTTCCTTATATACATATAATATGAAAACACCCAACATGCGACTAAGTTTAATTATTACTATATGTTTACAGGAAATAAAAAATTGTTACCTGTATTTGTGGGTGGCGGACCGCCCTCGAAAAGAGCGCGGAGAGAGGATTGTATCGTAGAAAGAACTGATGAAGAAACGATTCCGGAAGGTATCGTTATGTACAAAGGCTCTTTGCTAGATGTAGAAAAACTTGTCAGTCAGTTGAAAAGATCTGAGAAGGCGCGTTTAGATACCGAGGATCGTATGATGGAATTGCAGCATGAGCTAACTGTAGTCAACGATAAGTCTATAAAACAAACTAATAGTATTAAGGGTCTTTCGGAAGATTTGAAAATGTACAAAGATAAATTACGGGGCTCAGATGAGAAGCTCAAGAAAGTCTCTGTAAGTATACTCGTTTTCTGTTACATGATTTGATTTGCAAAGAGTACGGAATATCATCTCCTTACATTTCCTACAGACGGATTGCCATACTTATCTAACTGCGGTAAAGAATATGTATCACATAGCGGCCAAAATGATGCAGAGTGATACGAGAAAAGTAGAGGTAGTAGAAATTCAAGATGAAAAGGTTAGCGGAGAGATAAATGGTTCCGAGATGGAGAGCAAATTTAAAACCGACACCAGGTGGGGAGATAACAAAGTCCAAGTGAAAAAGGAACCCGTCGATGTAGACAAGGATAAGAAATCTGACAATAAAACTTCTGTCAAGAGAGAAATTACCGAAGCGGACAAGGAGAAGAAATAAAGCATATTATCTATTTATTATAGTAGACGATATCTGCACCGACACGAATAAAAGTCTAATCTTATTTCACACGCACGTGTGCACGCACGTGTGCACGCACGTGTGCTGTTAGTGACACGAAAAAAGAAAAAGCAGATGCAACTAGCAACAAGTTCATCCGATACCAAAAATTACGTCATTGGGACTCGATTTTGTAACTTTTTCCACTCGAGTGATAATATGTGGTGGCATCTTCAAACAACAAAAATAGAGAAGCACTTAAAGTCATGCATAACAGTTCATAGATAGGAAAATATTTTACGTTGCAATTTTATGCATCATTCAGAAAAAAAAATGGATAAATTTAAAAAGGGGGCTTTTAAAATACCATTGATCTGCCATTAAGTGCCAGATATTGATACACCATTGTTATATGTTCAAAACTATGTTAACACCACAGTTACTTGATTCAGATAAATAGCTCGTGAAGGTTTTTACTGAAAATAATAGTAACGCAAATATGTACTTCGTACGAAACGTTTCCATCATTGTTCCATCACTTGTCTATGTTACGCAAACATCAAATAATTTCTTAAATGAATTTAACTTAACCGTAAGAGCGTGTTTCGATATATTTTTGTGTATTTTTAAATTTAAGTTATAATATAACATAATTAAACAGCATAACGTTAAATTAAAAGTACATTTTGTTATCGAATTATTCATCATTTTTTAAACTATATATTTTTCCTAATGGAAACAGATTGATAATTTTAATTCTAACATATAATACATGATTTAACGCAATAAATATTTAATGCAATAAATGTAATACCAATCGTAAAGTTATAACAATATTTGGTTTCAGATATATCTGTATTATTGCGTTTTTTCTTGCATCGTGTGCTGCTGATTTTATGATGTAATCAACGCAGCATGAAGTATTTGAAGAATCATCCTTTTCGAGTATGTTTATGAAAAAGAAGTTTATATCAAATTTATCCAAGAGGAACAAAATTTTTCAAGAATTTCGAGAGTAATTAGGTATTTGTTACTGCGCAGCAATAACAATAATTTCTTCTCGTACATTGTAGATTGAAAAATGTATACAGTTTCAAAGCAATTCAATGAGCGTTTCTTTTCATAGCCTAATCTAGTAAGTACGATTTCATAATATTCTTTAAGTTACGCATTGTAACGTCCACCGAATGTCAGACACATTTATCCAAAAAAAAATATACTTCACAAAAACGTGTTCTCGAACGTGAGCGATCCATGCGCGATGCCCGCGTTCTATCTCCCTGACTTGCAGTTTGCAACTCATAATGCCAAGGATACTATTTTGTACATAGTTTATCTATTATATAGAAATTTTTTGTAGTTTGTTAATAGGCCACATTCTTGTCAAAAAAAAAAGGACGAAAGTAGCGCTATGCGTGAGTATAAAATAAGAGCATAAAATACGCGAGCAGTTCCGAATCTGTGAATGTGTCAACGTTATAGAAACCTTTAATTTAAAAATAACTGTAATCTCCTTGGGCACATGGTAGTCAAGAATAAGACGGTAAAAATAAAAATTGTTTAAACAGTAACGTATGCGTAACAATTTATAATGCATACACCGATTCGCTCTCGAATACAAACAATAACTTTTGTTTATTCGGATTAGTCTTGAAACTTAATGCGGTTGCGTACTTAAGCTTGAATATCTATTAATTTTTAATAAAATTTAATACCGTTCTTATGGAACTCGAGACAAATATAGAACCACAGGTTGTTAATTTGTCATATTTTATTCACAATTTATGAAAAAATATAGTGCAATCTGTGCATCAAAAATCCTTTTTAGAACATCTAATTTTATCATATTTACTCTGTTATTGTGGAACGCGAGTTTTTGAACAATTTTTCCGAAATAATGAGTCAAGAAAATAACGTGAGAATGGGATAAAGTTAAGAAACCGTTCATTCTCAATGTCGCCTACACAAGTCCCCAAAATTTACCCAAGTACGTGTAAATTCACTGTAGATGACATTAAGAATCAAACGTTTTGGAGATTCATGCATACGAAAATTATCTTTATTTGCAGAAAATAGGTGAATTCATGTGTTAATATTTATATGATATAGAAAGCATTATATATAGACCCCGAGATAATAATTTTATTTATATCTTCAATGAATTTTCGTCGTAAGACGAATAGGAGGGCGAGAGCGAATTAATGTCACTCTGGACATTTCTCCCCCATCTTCTCGAGCAACTCCTTGTTATCGCGAATCATCTTTTCCAGACGTTCCTTCGTTGCCTGTGTCTGCCTCTGCTCCAGTTTGCGCTTAGCAGACTCTATCGCAGTTCGGTACCCAGTGACGTTGCGGAAAATCTTTATGTGCTTGTCGCCCGCAGCCAACAGGTATTCCCCCATAGCGTCGAATGCCAAGCATGTTACGGGCCCTACAAGAAAGTATCGAAGAGTTCATCAAGTTCTCTAAACCGTCGCGAAAACCAACGTGTGACATCTGCGTATAATTTTACCGAAGAAGATGTCCTCTATGGTGGTATCCAGAGCACCGGTGATAGTCGAGTAGAAAGATATGGACGATCCATGGGCGATTACGAGAACCTCCGCGTTCGGGGATAGGACGAGGCTCGCTGGTGCCGCGGTGTTCCAGGTGCCGGTCATCAAAACGTGCGGATCCTCTCCCTTTTCGAATTCGACTGAAAGAAGAACAGATGCGTCGCGCAACAATCTCGTACGCACAGACCCTAAACGTTTTGCCGGCGATATTATTACTTTTCGTGTTGTAGAAACGATACGTCCCGTCCTTGGACACGGTGGCCATGTGACTGGTGTCGGCGCTGAAGCCGAAATCGTGAACCCCGGACGTGTGCCCGGCGAGGTCGAACGCCTTAGTCACAGTCTTGAACTCCCCAGATTTGCTGAAGACCACCTCCCACACGTTCACGTCCGGTGTAAAGCCTTGCAAAGGGAACGCATATCCTATTAAAGTCTCCGTACACTTGTCTCACCACCAGGTTCTGTTGAACGGCAAGACAGCTCTCCTTACCCGAGGCAGCGACGAATCGACCGCAAGGTGATATGCGTGCGCGATAAGTAGATCCCAGATGCATCTCCACCGTCGCCAGCGTCTGTCCTTTCAAGTCCCATATAATAAGATCGTTCACTTTGCTGCACGTGATGATGTATTTCCCGGTGCACGCGATATCCATCCCAACCACATCGTCAGTGTGACGCTAATAAAAAGATACACAAGGCATAAGCAGATCTATACAATAGCTAAGTCGTAAATAATATTTGGTTCAGCGCAAAATAAAATGACTCTGTTATATCCGTTATTATATTTTGAGAAAATCTTTCTAGAAGAAGTACGGGCAATAGAAGGAAACATTTGAAACAAATGATACAGAGACGAGATCGTGATACCTGTGGGAACTCCAGCGCCTTGGTCGCAGAGGCCAAGTGACCGTCCGGTTTCTTCGCGATCTTGTACACCTCGATGGCATTTGCCACAGCTTTGTGGATGATGAACGCCTTGCCGTCCGGGGACCAGCGTATCAGAGTCGCGTGATCGAATTCTATGTTAACGCGCAGAGATTTGCGATCTTTCGACGTGAAGTCCTTCGCGTACCACAGCAACACGGTGCGATCTGCAAAATTAAGTTGGATTAATGCGTGGCACATAAAAGCATTCTTGACTACGTTATGCAATATTGCCAGAGTTTTTAAATTTTCCCCGGACAGCCTGTGAAATTCTATTCTGCATTTTTGTACTTCTTTTTTCACGAGCAATTTTTTTTTTCAATTGTACTCAACTCGGAAAACTATCGGATGACGGAGAAGGTACTGCAATATTACAAATATAATATTAATCTAGGAGGAAGTAACAAATTTAAAAAAAAGGGAAATAAACGTACAGTGAACGTCTTACTATTCGATTAATTAAATAATGTAGGATAAGTAACTGTGAAGTGTGAATCTGTTATTACAAAGTTTTATTCAACAATTAATAATCTCAATTCATCAAAATATACAATAATCGTCGAACGTACAATTCATGGAAACTGAACGAAATATCCTGATGAGAAGACAATCCTGATTTAAAACGGTACGTATTTATCACAAAATTTAACGTTGGGGTCCATAACAAATGTCCTTACATATTACTCTTTATTCTACAAATAAACAGATATCATGCACTCTGATATTTTCAACCTATTTAACATTCCTAAAAATTCAAGTAAAATTGGCCGCAACTATAATAAAAAGTTGCCTATTTAATTAAAGTCCCTTTGAGCTTAAACTGCTTACACTCTAATTAAATAAATATAGAACGTTTCTAAGTTTTCATTCCTCGGACAATGATTGAAACTGTAAAAATCGCGACGCAGTTATGAATTCTATAATATAGCGCATCCCAAGATTATCTTGGCTTCTTATTCGGCGGTGGCATAAGATCCGTGTCGTCCCGCGCAAATCTGTACTTCTCGATAAAGTCGAGAAGCCGCTCCTTCGTAACCGGCTTGTTGATGCTCTTGCACACGGACTCGGCGGTCGCGACGGAATTAGGAAACGACTTGTCTATCCGCTGGCGCATGAAGAGCCACTGGCCATTCTCGAATTTGCACTCGACAATCGTGTTGTCCAAATCTTTTATCTGCTTGGTAATCTTCATCGTGCCGTACGGCGTCTTCAATCCTCCCACGTAAAGGTGGCCAATCTTCCGCGGCAGGATCCCCACGCCCGTTTCCGTGACAATCTTGAGTTTAAAGTCGACGGAGTTCAACGACAACGGTTTCCATTTCAACACCTCCGCGGACACTCCCGTGCAGTACTTCTCCTTGGCGGGTTGAAATATCAGGCCGTCCGGCTCGTGAGAGAGCTGCTTGGCGAACTTCTCGCCCAGCAGGCTCTTGCTCTGCGTCACGTCCCAGAAATACTTGACTCGCACCGAGAACGGCTCCCGTTCTTTTATCAATCGTCCCTCCTTCATCGCCCTTAGCCTGCCGGCGATTATTTTGTTCTCGATGATGAAATACCGATCAGGATGAAACGGCAATTTACTAACGTCCTGTCCGTCGTACATAATAACGTCGTACACCAAGTATCTAGGAATATTCTTGCCCCTATCTTTGTCAATCACCATCTCCTGCAAAAGTTAAAATCTTGTTGCAGATACAGCTCTAATCTACGCAGCTCGCGGTTCTATGAAACATCTGTTGCAACTCACTCCGTCCAACAGGGTATCTCTCAGACCGCGGTTTTCTCGCAAGTGTGGAAATGTCAGACCGTTTACTTCAAAAACGCTGTTTTCCCTGTCTATGAAGAATACGTCTCCGTCACCCTGTATCAACATCATGTACCTAAACAAAAATTTATTATTTATATTTTTCATACTTGTATATACAAAGCGATATTGAAAGTGACGGTTAACGTACACAAATACACTTCCAACTAACCTTGTGCCATCGGCTTTCCAGGACACTCTGTACGGCTTTCTGTGTAACAGCGTAAGATTGTCGCAATCCATGGACACAGGCTGGGAGCCGGGGAACCCCGAGTCTTCCCATCCGCAGATCTCCTGGACTCGGCCCTGGATTCCAAAGAGCCTCTTCTTTTCCAGGACAGGAGTGACGCCAGGTACGCCGGCCATGAACACCGGGTTTCTATTGAATATCTCGCGCCTCTTCCTCTTGCCCTTCTCCTCCCGGCCGTTGTCGTTGTCGGTGCTCGGCCCCTCGTCCGCGTCCGCGACGTTGGCCTCGTCGTACTCCAGGCACCAGGCCGGCCTCGCGGGCGGCGGCGGCGCGTCCGACACGTCGTCGTACCGCTGGTAGAGCTCCTTTATGTAATCGCCCTTGTAAATTCCAGGTGGCCGCGCGGTGGCGAACTCGGCGATACCAGCGTCGACGCTGGTACCGTCCACCTCTACCAAGTAGCTGATTACGAGGAAGCCCGTCCGGTTGAAGCCATGCGTGCAGTGCACGCCGATGACGTCCAGGGGATTGTGAGCGATAAAGTTCCTACAGAGCTGGACGAAGGCGCGGGTCTGCTCCTCGGACGGGGTCTCGCCGTGGCCGCGGCACTGCAGCTTGACGTATTTACAATCGTACTCCTCTATGCTCTCCTTGTCGTAGAACCTGGACGTGTTGGTCAGGTCTATCCACAGGCCCATCTTGAGCTTCTGGCTCTTGAGATTCGCGAAGAACATATCGACGTTGAAGCGGCAGCCCTCGGGCACCTGGCTGTCGTAGGCCGAGGACAGGGGCGTCTTGAAGGCGAGAAACTTGCCCTGGATCAGCCGCATCGCCTTGCGCGGACAGTCGAGCCAGCGGGGTGGCACCCCGCGCAAGTTCTTGCTGTCGCCCGACATCTCTCCGGCGCTCAAGGACGCGAAAGGGCAGGCTCGGGGTCCTGCGGCAAGCAGGCCAGCATCTCACTCGCTTAGCCGCGCGGCGAGGAGGGATAGTGAAGTCAAATCAAAGATAGTCACTGCCAGAATCACGGCGGTCTAACCTACTTCCTCGCCCCCGGAGCAACCGTCGCCCGCGGCGCGCGGGACTTGCCGGCGCGACCTCGCCGCGCCACCGAAGCCCGCACTCGGCCCGAGGTCGGAAGGGGATCCTTGGAATGGATGCGGCGAGCCGATTCTCAATTCATCGCTACGACGGAGTCACCAAAACATGCGGTAAGCAACGACATCAACCATGGTGACCGCCATTGCGTGCAACTGCGCGCTACGCGGCTTGTCATTTTCCCATCGCGACGATCTCTCGATCTCGCGAGATTCTCGGGACGCGGGCGGCGCGCGCCAAATACGAACGTTGGATTTCGAGAGGCGAGTCGAGACGCGCGTCCCTCCGGTTTCTCACCTCGGGGCTGCTTTCGCGAGAAGATCCAAGTGATCCAGATTCAAGTGACCTTGCGCGACGACCGGTCAAATCTGGAATCTTATCGAACAACGTCTCAACGTGACGCTATGAAATTTCGGACTTGGCCCATCGTAGCGCAGGGTCATTTTAATCTCGATCATTTTCATCTTCTCGCGTAAAGCAGCCCAGAGATTGACCAGTTTATTTATCCCGACGAGAGACGACGCGTCTCTCGAAGGCAATATCGGTTCAATAAAGTTTTTCAAGCTCTCACGGATTCACGCTAAAGGAAAAGGATTTTCGTGATCGAGCCGCTGGGGATTTAAAGCTTCGCTGGGAGATTCGGTTGGCAGCGCTGCTCCGCGTTTTAGCGCGCTCTAGAGACTACGCGTGGAAGTACTCGAGTGTACAAAACCGTGCACCGCCATCGATAAAACATTCGAGATCCATCTCTCAGGGTAAAAGGCTGGGACGCGAAATAAAATTCACTGTATACGAAAAATGTATCCAGTATATGCCCCGGTAGTCGAACTGGTTGAGACGCACGCCTAGAGGGAAGGGGGAGGTCCAGGTTCAAACCCCGGTAATATTTTTCGCAATAAATTTTATGCGTTGAAAGACACATTGCCAGTTATGGCCGATCGTAAGCTTAAACATATGTATACAAAGTTGGAGAAAATCGGTGCGGCCATTGCCCGATCCCCTTGTTAAGGCCTGTGTCCACGATGCTAGAACTTGGACCAAGTTCTAGCATCGTGGACATTGGGCTTTAGTATGATACTCGGACTGAAATGCCCGTGTAAACTTCTCCACTCGGATGAAGCCACAAGTAGGATCATCCCTGGGTGTAGAACGGGCATAATAGCACAGTGCATTGTACTATTACTTCCCTAAAGGGCACGATTGAAACTTAGGAAATAACTGAACAATTACGCTCAGAGCCTATCCCGAGAAGTTCCGCGATACGCGTTCGGGAATCTTGGAACCGAAATCCTGAGCCTCGGACGTTCGACTTCTTAGTAAACAAAACATGTATACACTAAACATACGCTGCCCTCGGCTGAACATCAGCCGCGGATCACGGCTATATACCGCCGAGAATAGAAAGCACGGGAGCGAGTCGCGCAAGTCGACAACCGAAAAATCGCAGTAGTTCGCCGGCGAAGAAAAATATATTCCGGCCTTGAAAGCCAGTGGCGTGTCATCGGCGCCACGGCCAGTCCCCCCCTTTTATTTTTTGTTCGCTGCCGCGCGCGAATTTAGCCGCGTTAAAAGCCGCTCCGGGAATAATTCGCGAGGACGAGCTCCGTAGAACGTGACTCACCGTCGGTTCGAGCGAATGTAGCACGATCCAGGGTGATCGGCACCGAGATCTCTTCTCGGCCGTGTCAAGATGTATCCCCGTACAGCGCGCGTGTCCAAAAGACATCTTTAGGACGTCTTTGAGTCGTCTTTTAGGACCTGAACAGAACGGCTGCTTTGCAACTGTTGTAAAATTCGTGAATCTGATTGGCGCACTCTCTTAATCTTGAGTGAAGTTAAGAGCATGCGCCAATGAGATTCACGAAATGCAGCAGTTGCAAAGCAGCTTCTTCTGCTGAACGCGGCCAATAACTGTCTTATGTGTTAAGAGTACAAGACAGCCATTCTGCTCAGGCCCTTAGACATGTATGTCTAAAAGACGACTTAAAGATGTCTTAACGATGTCTTTTAGACACGCGTGCTGTATGGGTCCCGAACCCTTCCCCTAGTAGCACAGTGCACTGGCTTAACCCTTTGCGCTCCGAGTTATATTTCATCTATTGATTTGGACTTGAAAAAATGTCGCGTGAGACTCGACAAAGGAGCTCCTGAGATAAAAACTGATGTCGAGTCACACTCGACATAGGAGTGAAAAGGGTTAACATTGGTCCAGTGTTGGTTATATTAAAAATGCACTGGCCGATATTTTCTCCAATTCTCGAATTTCTTTAATTAGAATTTGCCAGCCATGGGTCGTCAAGCGATTTTCTACATTGGTTAATTCAATTACTGGCGTTAAATAATCCTTTACGATATTGTACTGTTATGGTCACCTTTCATCAAAAAGAAGAACAACGGCGATCGCGATGCCGCTTCCGAGATTTTTGCCCGGAAAGTGTTCGGACACGTCGCGGTGAAAACCCCCGACGGAAGCGGCGGCGTGATTCCCGTCGCGTCTTTCTCGAGAAGAGAGACTCGTCCGATCCGACGGGCCGTTCCAGCCGCTTGAATTCATTCGGGCGATTATCGAAAGTACATCGCTTTCGCGCGAGAAAAGTGACGCGAGTCGAAAATATGAGCCCCCGTTTTTCTAACTTATCAACTCGAAAGCAGGCTTTCTGGATAAGCGCAGGGGTATGCGCTTATCCAGAAAAGCGTCGAAGGTGTAGTTACCGAAATCTGCAAAAACAGAGACCAGTGCGAAGGGATTACGTTTCGTTTAAAACTAGCCATGGCAGAGAGAAGGAGCCGCTTAGGAGAAAAATACGATTTTCACGTTACGCCGAGAGATCTAGCGAGGCGAGAAAACGAAAAGGGCAAAAACAACAATTTAGCGGACCACGTGGCCGTATAGCTGCTGCGAGCCGATTGAAAGTTTAAAATGGTTCGCCTGTAAAACTGCTGTTTTCGACTCGGGGGCCACTTAGCCCGCGCAGAGGCGACGTAAATGGAACAATTCGAATCTCTCGGCGGGACGCGAGCGGGTCCGAGGGCCTCGCGCTTCCGCGGCGGCGCGAAATCGCCCGGGGCGAATTGACGAGCGGCACGAATGGAAAAGCAGATCTCCGTGCGCCGCGCGTTATGACACACGCGCGACCGGAGAAAGCGCGATCGCGTCTTTCTATTTGACGTCTCGTTAAGGCGAGCCCCGAGAGGAGGCCGGCCGGCGGTACCGGGCACTCTCGTCGCCGTGGCGCCGGATTTTAAGCTCGGCCACAATGCGAGCGACCTGTTCTCCCCCTTCGAAAGCCACGGCCGGCTAGAGGATACTTAGACTTGAATTGAAGATAAACTTCCGGCGGAAACGCGTTCGTGCGGACAGCGAACAAAGATTGTCGTACCCTCGATAAACACGCGAAACCGAAAGGAAATTCGCGACGGTAAACACCTTATCTCGCGGCGAGCAAAACGTACTACTTGCGGCTTTTTCGAGCGAGAGAGAGAGAAAGAGAGAGAGAGATTTGTTTAGTCGCAATTTGCAGAACGGAAAGGATATAAAAATGGGTGCAGCAAAATTGGAAATTCTATGGAATAAGCCTCACGATTTCTTTCGCATTAATTACGCGATAAGGTGGACACGAGGTGAGATTTTACTAACACACTTTGTTCAGATCTCACCTCGTTCCCCTTGATTTATTAGATACGATTTCATTGCGATTTATTATGATTTCACACGAAATTATGTACGAGAGGATCATAAATTTCAGAGGCGTTTGAATCTAATCTTGCTGTAACGCGCGGTAAAAGTCTCTCAATCCTTTTGGCTGCCGTTTTTTTTTAAGCAAATAAGGCGACGAGGGTTTACGGGAGCTTCGTTTTCTTTTCCTTCCCAACTTTCCTTTCCGCGAGTTTGCAAACGGCGCGACATTCGGATGTTCCGTAGAATCCGCGTCTCCCTCCGGGCGATCGTATTCGGCTGGGACGATTGTTAAATATTCCGAAGACGAGTCAGGGGGGCCGCCAAGGATGATTGGCAAATCTCGGACGTAAACGTGGCGAGCACATGGCCCAGGCCGCTTTTGTTTGAGGATTACGACACGCGGTCGCGCCGTCCCGCGGGCCCCACCCCCTTCCTCGTCGCTCCCTTTGTGCCGCGCGGTCTCGCATCATCCCGCGGCGCTCCTTTCTTCCTCGTCGCTCCCTTTGTGCCGCGCGGTCGCGAGAGAGAAATGGAAAGCGTGGGCCCGCGGCGAAATAATCGGCGCGTCTCGCCGCGCGCGAGGCACGTACACGACCGGATATCAAAATACATTATCCGCGTACGTGTCGCTCGTCACCGGCAATCCGTTCCCACTTCTCTCGCATTTTCCGCGGCACAGCGGAACGTGCCGATCGATCGCCACTAACGTATCCTGTCCTACGGCAGATTAATTATTTCGCCAGCCCGAGAGATAACGCCTATTGTCGCTTGGCGAGCGAAACGAACGCGAGACGTCGCACCCGTTCGAGAAATTCCACAATAACGCGCATTCAGAGGCGTCCGTTTTCAGAATCGGGGACTAGGTTCTTGAATTTACTCGTAGGAGTTTTTTTTCATCTTATTATTTAAGAAGAGACAGAGAATCGATTAATCTTCGGTTAGCAGTTAACCGACGTTAGTGAAATCTGGCCCTAAGGGCCAGATTAATTGATTCTCTGTCTCTTCTCAGAGAATCAGATAGAAAGTCTCTTCTCAGAGAACAAGATAGAAAAAGATAGGGAGTTGGTTGAATTTAACAGTTAACCGACGTTTGTGAAATTGGCCCTTAATGTAACTATTAGATTAGTTACTAGTTGAGTTACAGTTACAGATGGAGAGAAAGTAACGAAGTTAAGTTAGAGTTAGCAAAAAAAAAAGTAACCGTAACGTCGTTGCAGCTTAGTGCGAAAAGAAACCTCTTGTTAAACACACCTCTCGTATCAGAATTCTATGCCTCGCCAATCTTATCGCGATTTTATTTTCACTATCTCAACGGTAGATCGACCGACCCGTTTTCTCGGCTTTCATACAAAACTTGCATTTACGCGAATAATTTCCATGTACATAGAGAGGACAAATATATTTCAGGGTCAACGAGAGAAACTCCATTGGCGGAAATTTCAGGTTTCGCTTAAATCTTGTTACTTTATTGCCTTTTTGCCGCTTTTCTTCTTAACTGTTTACTGATTGCATTTATAGCATGACTGCTATTGATTGCAGATAAGCACTTTTAATTGACGCGCCCATTTAAAGATTACAATTGTAACATTAGTCTTCAAGAATATTTGAAGCCAACCGCTTGAATTCTTCATGTTCTGCGCAATTGAATGAATGACGAAAAAAGAGATACACGGTGCAACCTAGACGAGTGTTTCGTCAGACTATCGAATTAATCGCTGACGAGAGTCCGACGGCGCGAGCGCCGTTTCCTTGTTCGGATCTTATCAAAGGGACCGTCGCGCGGCGGATTTGATAAAACGCGTGTGCGTAGCGCGTTACGCACGCAGCGCACGCACTCGGAGGACAGGAGCGATGGAGTTCCCGAAATAGGCATATTTTGCACTTCGCGGACTTGACTCGGCAATCCTTGCCTATTCCGGTGAGTTTCTCGCGAAAAGAGAAACAGTTCGACGCGTTAATATGCAGGGTTGGGTAGTCTAGTTAGAATTATCTTTCTAATTAAGTTGAAAAGTTAAATCATTTTAACTTAACTGAGTTACAGTATAAACTATGAACTTTTAACTTAATTTATTGATATTTTATCGGTAACTTTTAACTGTGAATTTACCTTTCGTAAAATTTGCCATTTTCGTAAAATTACAAAAAATTCTCATAGCATATCGCTTGAAAAGGACCAAAACCCATGGTCGAAACGTAGCGATGTTTAAACATAAAAATTGCCAGACACGGTAAACAAAGCTTGACGTTGATAATATTTTATATTATATTATATTATGGCAACATTATGTAATACACTGAGAAAACTGTCCGATTAAATAGAATCGGGCAATCCAATTACATAATAACAAGCGGATATGCCCGATTAAATTGTATATCCGACGAAAAATGTGATCGGTTTTTCGATCAAATTTCGGTAACTGCATTTCATCGGATAAACTTCATCGGGTGTATCCATAATTTAATCGGAAAACGTAATCGGAAATATTAACCATCGGAAACGCTTTTTAATTGGTTTATTTAATATTTCGTAGCATTCGCGTTTCAGAAAGGTTTCGAAAACATATATAATATAAAAAAAAGTTAGAAGAAAAATCTCAGAATTTTTCCACCAAGATGCTTCCTCCTGGCGAAAAGATATATTATATATCTTCATTATATAGGATGACAAATGGAGGGTCTTCGACCTTACGACGCCGAAAGATCAAACAGGTATTTCTGTGTTTTGACTGCGGCGGCTTACTCTCTTGTGAGAAAGTAAAGGAAAAGCCACCGAAATATTGTGAAAGAACCTCTAAAGCGTGTTATAGGGAAGTAAGTCAATATTTCATGGCTTCATCTG